ACAAATCTTCTGAAATGGAAATGAGGACAACCACTCCATTCACAATATCCTCAAAAAAAATAAAATACTTGGGAATCAACCTAACAAAAGAGGTGAAAGATTTATACAATGAAAATTACAGAACCCTAAAGAGAGAAATAGAAGAAGATCTTAGAAGATGGAAAAATATACCCTGTTCATGGATAGGCAGAACTAACATCATCAAAATGGCGATATTACCCAAAGTTCTCTATAGGTTTAATGCAATGCCAATCAAAATCCCAAAGGCATTTCTTGTAGAAATAGATAAAACAATCATGAAATTCATCTGGAAAAATAAAAGATCTAGAATATCAAAAGCAATTCTAAGCAGGAAGATTGAAACAGGCAGTATAGCGATACCAGATTTCAAACTATACTACAGAGCAATAGTAACAAAAGCAGCATGGTACTGGTACCAAAACAGGCAGGTGGACCAATGGTACAGAATAGAGGACACAGAGACCAATCCACAAAATTACAACTATCTTATTTTTGACAAAGGGGCTAAAAGCATGCAGTGGAGGAAGGATAGCATCTTCAATAAATTGTGCTAGAAAAACTGGGAATCTATATGCAAAAAAATGAATCTGAATCCCTTTCTCTCGCCATGCACAAAAGTTAACTCAAAATGGATCAAGGAGCTTGATATCAAAACAGAGACTCTGCATCTGATAGAAGAAAAAGTTGGCTCCAATCTACATACTGTGGGGTCGGGCTCCAAATTCCTTAATAGGACACCCATAGCACAAGAGTTAAAAACAAGAATCAACAAATTTGACTTACTCAAACTAAATAGTTTTTTTTTTTTTTCTCAGCAAGAGAAACAATAAGAGAGGTAAATAGGGAGCCTACATCCTGGGAACAAATTTTTACTCCTCACCCTTCAGATAGAGCCCTAATATCCAGAGAATACAAAGAACTCAAAAAATTAAACAATAAGGAAACAAATAACCCAATCAACAAATGGGCCAAGGACCTGAACAGACACTTCTCAGAGGAGGACATACAATCAATCAACAAGTACACGAAAAAATGCTCACCATCTCTAGCAGTCAGAGAAATGCAAATTAAAACCACCCTAAGATACCATCTCACTCCAGTAAGAATGGCAGCCATTATGAAGTCAAACAATAACAAGTGCTGGCGAGGATGTGGGGAAAAGGGTACACTTGTACATTGCTGGTGGGACTGCAAATTGGTGCGGCCAATTTGGAAAGCAGTATGGAGATTCCTCGGAAAGCTGGGAATGGAACCACCATTTGACCCAGCTATTCCCCTTCTCGGACTATTCCCCAAAGACCTTAAAAGAGCATATTATAGGGATACAGCTACATTGATGTTCATAGCAGCACAATTCACAATAGCTATACTGTGGAATCAACCTTGATGCCCTTCAATAGATGAATGGATTAAAAAATGTGGCATTTATGCACAATGGATTATTACTCAGCACTAAAAAATGACAAAATCATGGCATTTGCAGGGAAATGGATGGCACTACAGCAGATTATGCTAAGTGAAGCTAGCCAATCCCTAAAAAAACAATTGCCAAATTTCTTCTTTGATATAAGGAGGGCAACTAAGAACAGAGCAGGGAGAAAGAGCATGAGAAGAAGATTACCATTAAACAGGGATGAGAGGTGGGAGGGAAAGGGAGAGAGAAGGGAAATTGTATGGAAATGGAAGGAGACCCTCATTGTTATACAAAATTACATATAAGAGGAAGTGAGAGGAAAGGAAAAAAAAAACAAGAGAGAGAAATGAATTACAGTAGATGGGGTAGAGAGAGAAGATGGGAGGGAGGGGGGAGGGGGGATAGTAGAGGATAGGAAGGACAGCAGAATACAACATACACTAGTATGGCAGTATGTAAAAACGTGGATGTGTAACCGATGTGATTCTGAAATCTGTATATGGGGTAAAAATGGGAGTTCATAATCCACTTGAATCAAATGTATGAAATATGTCAAGAGCTTTGTAATGTTTTGAACAATTAATAATAAAAAAACCATGCACACACATATACATACACATACATGGAAGATCTGAGATGGGATAGAGAGGAAAAAGGAACTGAAATAGATTTAAATTTTCTCAAGAAGGCCTAGAGTTGTGCTCCTACCGGTTCCTCTGAATTTACGGCATAGAAGCCATTGACTGTTTTAGAGATATCTGAGAGGAGAGAGACCTAGAATACTGTTTCCCAAGAATTAGTCCTGGGAGATTGCAAGCCTCTTAAAGAATGCCATGCAGTGCCAATGTCTATAGCAGCACAATTCACAATAGCCCAACTATGAAACCAGCCCAGGTGTCCATCAACAGATGAATGGATAAATCAAAATGTGGTTTGTTTACACAATGGAGTTTTATTCAGCCATAAAAAATGAGATTATGTCATTTACAGGATAATGGATGGAACTAGGGGCCATTATGTTAAGTGAAATAATCCAAACTCAGAGAGGGTTGCATGTTTTCTCCCCTAAGTGAAAGCTAGAGAGGAAAAAGGAACAGAAAGGTGTGTGTGTGTGTGTGTGTGTGTGTGTGTGTGTGTGTTGAAGGGTGGATTTCATGAAAATCAAAGGTAGATCAGTAGAAGAAAGGGACCAGGGGGTGGGAGGTAGGGAAGTGTTGGGGAGTGATATTGGCCAAATTATATTGTTATTTTGTGTGTATGTAAAAATACATAAAAACAAATTCACCATTAAATACAACTATAATGCATGAATACAAAATGTGAAATGAGAAACAAAAAAGCAACACTGTGCAATACAGTCTTTAAGATTGAAAAGCATTAGCCAAGCCTGGTGGCATAAATTTGTAATCCCAGCTAAGTGTGTAATCCCAGAGATTTGTGAGGCTCAGTCAGGAGGATCCCAAACTTAAGGCCATCCTCAACAATTTATAGAGGCCCTAAGCATCTTAGTGAGACCCTATCTCAAATTAAAAAAAAAGGACTGGGGAAATAGCTCAGTGGTTTAGAGCTGGTAGGTCCAATTCCCTGTACAAACCATTAATTAATTAACTAATTAAAAGATTGAAATACATTAAGGAATTCCAGTTCCTGGGCTAATGGACCTGAGGACAGCATATCTGGGGAAGGCAAAGACTTTCAAAATTAGGGAATGGGGATCACACCATGCTGAGGGACAGTTTGTGGCACTGACTGTTACCATCTAGGGGTGCTGGGTTTGTTGCCTTTGTTTCAGCAAAGACTTGAAGAACAGGACACAGAGAGAGCAAACAAAAAGTAGGTTTATTGCAAAAGCAACAGATAGCTAGACTTCTCTAAAGAGAAGTTTCCTCAGGGCTGGGAATGTGGTGGAGGAGTTTTGGCTTGTTCTTTTTGTGGTCTCTGGAATTTCCTCCTTTCCTTATCTCCTCTCCTGTCCACATTCTCTTCACTTATTGATTGGTGGCCCCTCTGTCCACACATCTGTTTTAGTTTTTCTATTGAATCCCTGCTTAGGAGCATGAGTATGGAAGTGTGTGTCTGACTGGGTCCCCTGCTTGTGTCCATCACAACTTTTGTCAACTAGGAAGTTGACCTAATCAGAAAACATAATCTATGCTCCTTTGTTCTGGCCTGCCCCCCACTTCTTCATTTGTCATCTTTCCCTGACTACTTAAACCCTTCTATATTTCCCTCACAACCATTCTGGCATTCAAACAAGGAGAATGTATACAAAGAATATATAAACCAAGAAACAAGAGGTTCCTGCATCATGGTAACTATCAACAGTCACAACAGCAGGTACTGATAAGGAAAGAGAAGGAGGTTATAACTAGGCAAGGACAGATATGCCTGTGAGCCAAATTCTACTTCAACTTTTTCTTGACAATATGGAAACCTATTCCTTAGGAACTTAGATTATCTTTGCATAGAAAATGGTGTGGGCAGTCCTCAATTTTTCTAAGTATTTTCTTCAAAAGTTGTTGGAATGTTGAATAAAATAGTAAATATAAAAACCATATCTGTTAAATTAAAAGTATATTCTTTACAGGTGAACTTCAAGATTCAGGTTTATACCTTCTAGGTATAATAAGATTATTTAGAAAAACTATGCAGTTTAAAAATCTGATAAATTATTTCCTATGGTTTTCATTTATTCTGCTTCATACCCCAGGTTCATTTATATCAACAGAAAAAAATATGCATACAAAAAAGTAATACCCCCTGAAATAAAGATAGATGAATGAAGGAGGAATATAAGAGACCTATCAATAATACTATCCAGCCCTGATATTCAAGTCAAGTAGTCCCAGGAATGATTTCAGATTCTACCACATATTAGCAACTCTGAATTGTCTCATTCATAAAATGTGAATATCTACCTTATAGGAGTATATGAGGTAACAATGACAAAATGGATCTAAGGCTTTTAGATTAGTATCTGGCAGGCAGCCAACATCCAAGCTCTTTATCCTAATTCTTATTGTTCTTATTATTTTGTGAATCACTGTGTATAAATCTCTGTGTCTTAGATTCTTATCTTTAATAGTTATGATCAGAATAATCAATTAGTATAAATGAGTCATGATTTATTTTGAAAATTCCTACAAATATTATTTCATAGCTCTTATGTAGGCAAAAATTTACATTTATTTCTATTAATATATGCCATAGAGTATCAATCCATTAATTATTTATGTAAACAAATTCTATCACCAAATACTTTTCCAACAGCCATTATCTTGGCTGAGGAGAAAAAGGATCCTGAAAGAAGATCTAGATCATTTGAATAGCATTTTAGTGGAGCTCATATGTCATTGAACCACTTTATAGATTTACCTATTAGTTGGTCAGTCAAGGTATCTATGGGTAAGTCAGTTAATAAATGCAAATAATCCTATTGAAACATTTGCTGTTTATAGTTTGTATAGCTCTTTTAAACAGACTGATTACTTCCCTTTATAATTCCACCCCTGAAGGCACACAGAGTTTTGTTCTTTGTCATCATTGCATGACATTTCATTTGGCAGCTTGCTTATTTTTAGCCAGACTATCAAAGTATTTTTCAACTGGACTGTCACTGCACTTGAACTTGGAATCCTGTGACCTGAAGAACTGCATTGGAGAAAAGGAAAAACTTCTGACAAATGGGGAATTATAAATCTAGACCAACCCAAACTTGTACTGGTAATTTTTCTCAGTTTCTTAAATGTAACGGTTCAATTATAGTTACAAATAACTAAATAACTCATTGGAATATGTGTTAATTTGTATACAGAAGATATTACAATGCACTATGTAAAAGTGTAGGGAAGAATATCTGAACTGAACTATTTTTTCTCTGAAAGGTATTTACAGAAAACAGAAAATTTCTTATAAAATATTATTTTAATTTCTTGGTATAATGTTATAGAAAAAAAATTAGAATACTGTTGAATATAGAGATTTTAGAATTATATCTTTAAGTATCTAGTACTTAAAACCTAAAAACTCTAACAGCTAGAGATTGCTATAATTAAAATGCAATAAAATCAAATGAAATAAGTCAAATATATTCTTCTATGTAAATATATTATCCAATATCCAATGGATTCTTAATTACTACAATTCAATCTGATTGCATTTTAAATATAAACATCTGCATTTTAAACTCACAATCAGTAATTTAAATTAAGTATTGTAGAATACAGAATAACAAACAGGGTTTTGATTAATTGTATGTTATGATCTGTGTCTACATTTTGCAAAACACAACCATCAATCAATCTCATTTGTTTTTCTTTGCTAGACGAATGGAAGAAGAAAGTCAGTGAATCTTATGTTATTATAATAGGAAGATTAAAAGATGACCTGCAGATCAAGGAAAAAGAATTTACAGAACTAAGGAATATATTTGGGTAAAGTTCTCAGAGACAAGACTTCTTTGTAGAAGGGTCTTCATTAATGATCTTGTTTTTAGATATATCCTTTTACTGTGTGAGTCTGAGGGGGGAAGAGGAAGGGAAAGAGAAAGACAGAAAGATAAAAAGAGAATACATATCCATAAAACCTTAGATATAGCCAGTCATGTTCTGTCTTAGAGTGTCAGGTTATCTCTTTTTGTATGCCTCTCAATGTACAACTATCTCACCTCCTTAGTAAGACTTGCATTCTCTCCTCACTAAAGTTTTAAAAAGAGTAGAACATAAGGGCTAGCCTTTGAACCCAAACTGTTATGGTCTAAACAATCTTATCTTTTCCTATGGTGGCAATATGTTAGCCACATTGCCCTTCTTTGGACTACTGAGGTAAGTCCAATTCTCCTAAACTCTCTTGTCTCTGGACATTGAAAGGCTGTCCCTTAATGAAAATGAGTATAATTCTGTACCCTAACAATCATATAACAACATGAAATATTGACTTCAAGCTTTTAGTGGGGTTTGTTTTATAATAACAAGAGAAAAAACTAATCTGGGATAGTATCACAATCATGGGAGGACAGAGAATGTTCAGAAAGGAAGGGAAACTAGATGCACTTTGGTATAGTTATATACTGAGGAAAACATAAACATAGAACAATTAAATATGCCCATTTCCAGGTGTATTACTCATATAATGCACTCATGGCAAAGAACTCTATTTTATTTAGAAAACAAGTATAAAGCAATGATGAAGTGATTTTAGATTTTTCAAAAGAAATTCAGACATAATAAGTATATTATAAATATCATGTAACTAGTAAATGAAATCATCCATGAATCTTATAGTTTATATGAAATTTGTCAATAAAATTAATAAGGTCTTCACAGATATTCAATTTATTGTTTGAGAAACAGTTGATTCTCTCTAGTCCCAAATGATGCACTCAACATGGACATTTGTGATGAGATACCAGTGGAATATAACTTTTTCAAGTAGAATTGCATGATTCTGTGGTGTAGGAGAACATTTGGCATTCTTGTAGAGATACGATTGACACTTTGGTACAGAAGATTTGTACATACATATTTATTTTGTCGGAAAAGGAATACGCATGTAGAACTTAATCATAACACTCTACCTCTTACTGACAAAATTAAATATACTGAATGAAATGGGACGCTGAAGAGATTTTTCTCAACTTTGTGAAGTCAAAGCCTCATCTATTTATTTATTTGTAATTTAGGAAGTATTGGACACATATGTTAAGTTTAGCTAATACTAAATATAACCTTTTGATAATTGTTTGAACTAAATACCTTTGAGATATAGAGTTTTGTTGGTTTTTTTTTATTTTTGGCACCACATTAGCTCCCAGCTGTCTTAACAATTCCTCTGATAGCTGACATTTCTTATAGACCCAATAAATGGAATGATTTTTGCTGGTTAGTTCTAAGGGTGAGAAGTAGAAATCAGTGTTAGGAAATTTACAGTCCAGAATTTGTTCACTATCAGCTATGTTCAAGGCATTATTCTAGAAATATCAAATATAAGGCATTATTTAATCTTCACTATAAGCCTATATGGTGGATAATATTGATTTTGGTGTATAATAAACTAAAGACAAGACATGTGACTTGTCAATATAACAAGGTTAGTAAATGCTGAAATGTGACTTAAAAGATCTGCCTGACTCAATGGACAACCCTTCATACTATATACTACTTCTTGCTTCAAGAATTTACCAATAGATTCTGTAGAGACTGGTGTGTGTGTGTGGGTGTGTGTGTATCTATATACACACACACATATATCAGTCATATGTATATATATATATACACATACATATATACAGTCATATATATAGTCTCATATATAGTCATATATAGTCATATATTATCAGTCATATATGTATATATATGTATATATACACATATACAGTATATATATATATATATATATAATCATCAGCTATAACTGTCTTCCATGAGGGCTATTTATATATAGAATATATAAATGCTACAATGGGTTTTGATTTATTTGTTGATTTTAAAAAGCATCAGATAGCAGAATACAACAGTCACTAGTATGGCAATATGTAAAAACGTGGATGTGTAACCAATGTGATTCTGCAATCTGTATACGGGGTAAAAATGGGAGTTCATAACCCACTTGATCAAGTGTATGAAATATGATATGTCAAGAGCTTTGTAATGTTTTGAACAACCAATAATAAATAAATAAATAAATAAATGATTACCAAATCATCAAAAAAAAATCAGAGATAAAGAGCATAGTTAAGTAAAGGTGTCTAGCAAGAATGCATTAGTGCCATAGGAATTCTAGAAGAGGTAAGTAAAATAATTTCTTGACCAAATGATTTGAGTAGGAAAGCTCTGCCACTCAGGGTACTGGTTTGGGTCATAAAGAAATGGTTTTAAATCTGGGTTCTTAATAAAAGCTGTATACCCTTCAATATATTTCTTAATCTCCTGGATCCTCATTTGAATCTGTAAAATGAGATTAATGATAGCTACCTAACAGGATATTTGTGAAAGGGAGAGAAATGAATGCTAAAAATAGGTCAAACACAATAGTTATTGAAAAATTGGAGGTTTCTATTATTAGCTAAATAAGGATAGAATAAGGACAGAGAACTTTATTATGAAAGAGAAAATGAAAAAGTTAAGATAAAATATTTTCATATGAAGAGAATATATTCAGAACTAAAAATTATAAAATGTTGAAGCAATTCAGGATGATACTAAAATCTGGAATAAAGTTCTTGAAGATTGTCATTGATTTTTGAAGAATTTCAAGACCTGAGTATTGACAAGCTCATCAAAATGGATGTCAAATTTCTTGAGATATAGGGTAGGGCAATTTGTAGAGGAAGATTACTAGTTTGGTGCTAAAGCCATGAAGGAAGCTACAGAAATGTCCCATTAGCCAGAAGTGTTGATAACAATGCTGGGAACAGAATTACCCACATTCTAGAGTCATGCTTCTCATGGGTGAGGACGTTCTAAGTTAAAGTAGTCTGTTGTATTTGCTACAATTATAGATTTTGTGACTCAATCTTAGAGATTTTGTGACTGAATCAGATTCTGTGGGGATGATGTCTAAGAATCTGATTTATTAACATGTTCTTCTGGTAATATTTATACATTGTAAAAAGGATAATTATGCTAACCTTTGAGAACAATAGAAAGATATCAGTTGTGAGGAAAAATGTTTGCCTGGGGTGATATTGGTAAAAGGGATTAAGGACATCAGATTAGAAAATAAATTACCTAATATAGTCTGTAGAAAGCCAGGAGTGTTACACAGACACACATATACACACACACACATGCAAATATAGTACTATATTTTTACCTGACTCCATCCTGGAAGGTAGCACCACCTGAAAAGATACTCAACTGTTTATAGGTCAGTATTCTGAGAATGTTTTTTCTGTGGAATAAAATGATGGATGACAAAGAAAGCAAATTGTGCCAAGAATATAAAGTCTTACTCATCAGCTCATCCACCGAATTTTATGAGTAGTTAGGGAAATTATATATATATTATTTATGAAATCACATTTGAATATCTAGGGGCTAAATAAATATCAGAATCTCTATTTCTCATCCTTAATCATAGCATATACAATGCAAAGAGTACTTCCATGACAAACAGCTACTTGACATCAGCCTTTCCCTAAAAATGTAAGTAGCAAGAAAATTTTACATGATATTCAAAAAGATGCACACCAGAGTCACTGGTAGAGGCTCTCTTATATAAACCCAGGTCTATTTGTTTTTATATGTTGATTTGCTCACAAATTTATGACATTCTTGGTAGATGCTAATTCTGTTCATTAAACAAGACTTTACATAATGCACCATTGCTCTATCAGCTCAAATATGCAATCTCCCTGTCATAGATTTTACCCACAATATAATAAAAAAGCAGTATAGCACTAAACTTAATTTAGACAAAAAATTCTACATCATTATCTTCCTTATGTCATTTTATAGCAGCTTTGGAATGAGAGCTTGATGTGGGAAACAAAGGGAATGGAAATGGAAGGTTCTTTCATCTTCTGCCATATGTGGCATTCACTCCTAAGTTTGGACATTTGTTGAAGTAATGAATGGTTAACAAAGAGATAAAGAAGAGGAAACAGAAAAGGAAAAAAGACAGAAGTGATATGTTGTAGTACAATTATCATTTCCTGTTCTGTGCTGCCTCTGATCTTTATGTTTAACAGTAAAACACCACTTCTTACATGATGTTGTCTTTGTCCCCTTATAGGTCTGTCCCTTCAGCCCCTCATATTCTGTGTTTATTAAAAGTGCTTCTTTATCTTCTACCATATTTATATTTGCATTTATTTATGATAACTATGTATATAGAACTCAAAGGAAAACAAACTAATAACTTAGTGCTTACCATATACCAGGCATAGTGCCAAGTACTTTTATGTGCATTAGCATAAGCTCATATAATCCTCACTGTGTATGTGTAAAGTGCACACTATCTAGCACATGGCAAAACTCAACAGTTTTATCTTACTTTCACTTTCCCTCTTTTTGCCTTCATTCTCAATCCCATGGCATACTACCTCCTTCATCTCTTCTCCATCTTGTAAATAACAAAACAATAAAAAGTGAAAATAATTCATATTGAGGCTTTAGTAAAAATTATTACAGGAATTAATAATTATGAAAGTGTCATAATGTCTAACCTAGTTAAAAACTAATCATTATGGTTTATTTAATCTTCTGAAATAGGTATTGAAATTTCCATTTTATACCTGAAGATAATGAAGCTAATCAAATTAAACTGACTTGAACTAGGTTGCACAATTGTATAGTTGAACTGGAGTTTCATTCATCTTTATTTGATTTCAAAAAGTATTATCTTTATAATCTTGGTTCTCAACCTAGGAGAGGGAAATAGAAATAGACCAGCATTATCTTTCAAAATTTTTTACTTTCCTCATGGTATCCCA